CATTGTGCTTTAATAACTTTAATTTTTTAAACACTAATGAAAAAGGATCGACAGCTGCAGAGAGACATTGGATACTAGAAAAAACTACTGAATTAAATCAGTCTGTATATTTTAAAGATGTGTTGACCTCAGAACAGAAACCAAAATGTGTTACATTGGGAGAGAAATATTGCTTTTGTTTCCATAGGCAATGAAAAGCTATGGATTTTTTTCATAATTAATAAAGACCTTGAAAATCTTGGCTTCGAACATAAAGGAAGAAACCAAGAAAATCTACAAGACAGGTGATGTATATGCTGATCCATTGACATGGGAACAGCTCTGAGACTGAAAGAGGCATGATAAATATTGTTGGCTACAGAGTCCTCATGACTTATTATTACATGCCATCCTTTCATATGGCATGGATGGAGATTTATATCACAGTTTGTTTATGCAGTCCAAAGGGACTTATAAAGTTGACAGATGCTTTTTTAATCTCAAACATAGCCCAGGTGATCCAGCCTTTCAGAATGCCTCTGTTGCAGTTTCCTCAAAAATCTGCATCCAAGCTGGGCAGTGGTGGCACACACCTTTAATCCCAGCACTCGGGAGACAGAGCCAGGCAGATCTCTGCGAGTTCGAGGCCAGCCTGGTCTACAGAGTGAGATCCAAGACAGGCACCAAAACTACACAAAGAAACCCTGTCTCAAAAAACCAAAAACCAAAAACCAAAAATCTGTATCCAAAACAACTTCAAAGTAGCTAGCTGAGATGGTTCAGCTCACAGACTACTCCAGCCAGGACTTCAGTAAGCCCTGCACTGACCCATCACACAGACTGGACAACAAATGATATAGCTAGCTCTCCCAGGACTTGACCATTATCCCAGTTTTCTCACAGTCCCCTAAAGATGCTGTTGCTCCCAGACAACAGGAAGTAATTTTAAGAACATGATACCCACATTCCCGAGAGGTAGGGTAGGTGGTTTTTGGTCATTTAGTGGGTTATGTATGTTTGACATTTTTAGGGGGGTCAGTTGCAAGTTGTTATTGGTTATGGTCATGGAAGAAACTAAACAAAAAAGGTTGGATTAAGGGATTTCTTTCTTCTTTTTCTTTTCTCTATCCTTTTTTCTCTCCTATCTAGTGGGGAAAAAGGGAGGATATAGGAATGATAGGATAAAAGGGTAATTTATTGAATCTACTAAAAAGAAACTACTAGTCACAAAGAAGTTGCATTGGTATGGATTTTTGTATACTGATACAAATTTAAGGTTATTTTTGTTACAACATACTATATGTATGTTTCTACTCTTGTTTAAGGTATTGTACTTATGCAGCTCATTTAAAAATGTGATGTAAAGTTCTAGTCCTTGAAAGCTATTATTATAAACTGTTTAGGATAATTAAGAAATGCAGATTAATAGTTAATCATCTATAACAATCAAATTTGTAGTCATGTTAGACATGTTTTCAAGGTTAAACATATATTTTAGATAGATAGGTTGTCTTCAAACACTTCAGAGATCTTCAGAATATGGCATTTAAGATGTTTTAATAACATAAGACTTTTCATGACAGTGAGATATGTCTGCTCCTGGCAGCACCAAGGATAATGGACATCAAAGGACCTCCATATGGAGTTTGCTTTCATTGTGGCAAAGTTAGCCACTGGGCAAGAAATGCCCTTGCCTTAACTGTTGACAGTATTCTGCAATTCCAAATTGGACAAGCAGGATACAAAAGAAGGCAACTGATGAACTTTGATGAGAGAGGGTAGGACAGCCCTTCAAAATTCCTACTTCACAGAAAAGTCTGTCAGATATTCTAGGCCTGTAGACTGAAGATGGATGCCTGTCTGTGTCATTTCTATAGTTTTAGAAGTTGTTTGCTCTGCACTTCCTATTTATTTAGGTATATTTTATCATTCTCGGGTCTCTGATGGGGGTTGAAGATGATAGCTACAATTTTCTTTGTTGCCAAATTCAGAAAAAAAAGTTACAAAAGAGATCTAAAGTTGATAAGTTTGAGAGACATACAAGCTTAAGTTGTTTATTTAAGAAAATGTCTTAAGATCTAAAAGGATATTTTTGGCTGGTAATATAAGTTATGATAGAAAGTGATTTAGGTATAAAACTTTGGGTTTATCAAGACTAGATAATAAGTAATTTCTCCATATTTGCCAAATACAAATGGACTTGACATTGTGAATGTAATTCTTATTTGACAATTGTTCCTATTGCATATAGCTTTACTATGTAGAGTTGAAGCCTTTCCTTTTTATTTAGATTAAAAGGGGAAAATGTTGTGGGATATTTGATTGCACTGTGATACCCTGAGACTGTGCTAATAAAGTTAACCTTGGGGGTGGAGCCAGTGACTAGCTGACTGGAATTAGCCATAGAGAAGCCAAGAATACAGATAGAGAAGATTCCAGGAAGGAGTAGGGCAAGACTTAGATATTTCACAGTCTCTTGGATCTGAGAAGTGTGGAGAGAAGGTCAGCTGGTCATTCCTCCTCTGCTGCTTCTTTGATCCATCAGGTTTTCACCCCAATATTTGACTTCCAAGGCTTGATTGGTAATAGAACAACTTAGATAAACACATCACTGCATTTTGACATGTGACATAATATTTATAAAATATAGAGAACCTAGAATGTGGTTATATATTGTACCCTATTAAAATTTGCCTGAAGATCACAGAGACAAAGGAACAAACCACTGCCACATCTTAGCTCTAGGACTCCTCAGCCTGAAAAGCTGTAGTTTCTGTCTCCTCAACCTTATATATGCCTTTCTCCATCCAGCCTTCTTAGTGCTGGGATTAAAGGCATGTGCTACCACTGCCTGGCTCTGTTCCTCTCCTAGACTGAGTCAATCTCATGTAGTCCAGGGTGGCTTTGAACTCACAGAGATCCATTTGGATTAAAGGTGTGTGCCATCACTGCCTGGCATCTATGTTTAACCTAGTGGCTTGTTCTGTTTTCTGATCTTCAGGCAAATTTTATTAGGGTACACAATATATCACCACACCAGAGGATCCTGAAGATAGTAGCTTAAGGCTTTAATTTCACATTTAATAATTTTAAAGTACCTTGTAGATACAATTTCTTCATAGTCAGCCACGATATCGGACAAGTTAAATTTGCTGACTTTGATGATTCTTTTCATTATCAACCGTCTCACCTAAAGAAAAATCCAGAAGTTAAAAGAAATGGAGTGTTTCTGTTTTAAGGCTATGTATTTACAATTTGCACTGTGTATTTTGCCCCTCGATTTTTCAAACAGTGGGTAGGAAGGGAGTCAGGTAAGTGGAAATATGGCTATTTCTACTATTATTAAAACCAGCCTCAAAACACAGGTGTTTTGTTCTCTATATTTTATGCCAAAGCAAATTCCTTCTACACTTCTCCCTTTCTTGTTCCTTTCATCTTATCCAAATCCCTTGCTCAGTTTTCCCACCCAACTCATGGTCTGTGGTGCCAGAATGAGTCTTTGCTAAGAAAAAAGGCAGTCCTGGGTGCTCATCTCTACAACAGCCCTAGGAACCAACACAAATCACCCTGACCTGCAGACTAGGAGAACCCTGCCCCTGTGTTTCTCTCAAGCCCATTCCATGCTAACTGTAAGTCCCTGTTCCCCAGCATGGCAAGAGAGTCAGTCAGAGCCAAAAGCTTCAATGATGCTGCTATAAACCTTGATTTTTTTTCTTCTTTTTATAATTTGAGTCAGGGTCTCAGTATACAGCACAGGCTGGCTTAGGTGATCCAGGTTGTCCTTGAACTTGCAATCCTCACTCAGCCTCCCGAGTGCTAGGATTACAGTTATGTACCACTATACCTGGCCCAGGTCTCTGTTCTTCTAAAGACTACAATAGTCTCAGGAAACTCTTTCCCCATCCTTGAATTCTAGTCTTCATAATAGATTTAGGCTTTCAGACATGAAACTAGAAAGTAGGATTGGCAATGCTCAGCTTTCTGTCCTGCCGCACGTCACCCTGGAGACAGTGCAACCTGAAGCATGGTTGGTTACCTGCTTGAATTGTTGAGGGAATCGAGTGGTGGCAGAGAATGGATAAAACAAACTGTTCCCTTGAAATTGAACCAGACCTCTCTTTCATCTCCCTTGGCACCCTGTGAGACTGGGCTCCTTGCTGCTTCTCCCATAAGACAGATGGGATTCACTTGAGTTTTCAAACACGTAGATTTCTGTTACCTGGAATGTTACCTGTCTCCCCCACCCAGTTCAGGCTTAAATGAACAAGTGGTGAGTTACTATCCAACTGTTCCTGTGGGCTTCCTTTCTTGGCCACCTTATTTACATGTGCACCCCAAACACACACACACACACACACACACACACACACACACACACACACACACACACGAGAGAGAGAGAAAGACAGAGAGAGAGAACCTCATATCCTCATTTTCTACTCTTTTCCCTAACATGTTTAATTCTTTCAAATATGATTTATTTTTATTATATGGCTTCTTCTAGAATATAAACTTCGGGAGGTCAAGACTCATAGCAGATACTCAGTGATAAACAAACTGAAGGACCACTCTGAAGAATGCACTAGCCTTTTAGATGCTATCATTTCAGCAAAACAAGACCTAGTGATGCTTGAGCTAGCTGGGACTGTACTCCTTACAGCTGTAGCCCCAGCCTTGGGGGCTACACTGATGCCAATCCAACGGTAAAAATCTAGTGCACATAACTCATGTCCCATGGAACTCAGATAATCCTCGACAGCACCCAGCAAACACTGTCAGACACTCCAGTGAGGCTGAGGGTTAAGAATCTATAGACCTAATAGGTCTCCAGGGTAAAGATTTTCCAGTATCTCTAATTCTAGTACTGTGAACCTGCCAAACTTGTAGGTTTACACTAACCTCGGATGACAGTCTTGGCACAGGTTTACATCTAACTACACAGCCACACAGCTTTTTTAAGGCTCCTTCCTAGGATTGGCTTATGCCTTTCAGGCATCCTCAGAAATTACTCCCTTGGCCCTGGGTAGAACCAGCTCACTTCCCTCTTGGATGTCCCAGAAGGAGTAAAATGATAAGAGTTCTCTTTCCTCGGGAGCAAGCACATTTCTCTATTTTCCAATATGGCAAACTCGTTATGAGGGCACATCCTAAGCCTTGTTTTTAAAGTGCAGAGTTAATTAGGATGCGGTAGGAGGATGACACTGTAACTTTCTTGCTTAAACAGGAGGTGGGTCTGCGCTCTCACAGTTTGTTCTTGGTGATGAAGTAAACTGAAAAGGAGATCTGAAGAGAGCTGTCTCTCCAGCTCTCTGCGAACAGTATCTGCCATGTGCCCAGCAGATGGGTTCTTACACAAGTAAATCAAAAACATTGACAATATCAAGCTGTCATTACCTTTCTCAGAAAACTGACAGAATTAATCCTTTGTGCAGTGATAGAGTTCACATCTGAAATGGATATATCCTTCTGTGCCTGACTTTCATACTCCTAAACAGAGAATTAGGTTAGTTTTGCCTGAGTGTAATATGGGGATCAAATCTGATGTGCTCCAACAAAACCACAGTCGTTTGTTTCTGTCCACGCACAAGGATGGTGGCAAACACTCCTCAGAAGGAACCACCCTCTTCTGATTCTCTCACTGAGAAATGGCTCAAACCAGTTTATGACTGTATCCATTTTCTTCCGCATAAAGTCCATCGGTTTTTACTTGTATTAATTTGTGTAGTTTATGCACCTGCAGGTGGAGGGCAATTTGCAGGAGTGGGTTCTCTCCTCCTACTATGTAGATCTCGGGGATCAAACTCAGATCGTCAGGCTTTGTAGCAGGTACCTTTATCCTCTGAATCATTTGAAAGGCCCACTTGTGGTGGTATTATGTTCCCCAAAATATTGTTACCCTAATAAACTTATCTGGGGTGTGTTCCCCAAAATATTGTGTACCCTAATAAACTTATCTGGGGTCAGAGACAGAACAGCCACTAGATACAGAGGCTAGAAAATGGCGGCACTCACACCTCTAATTCTAGCATTCCAGAGGCAGAAATCCCTCTGGGATCTCTGTGAGTTCAAGGCCACTTTGGAAACAGCCAGGCATGGAGACACATGCCTTTAATCCCAGGGAGTGAGCATTTAATCCCAGGGAGTGATGGTAGAAGGCAGAAAGGTATATAAGGCGTGGGGACCAGGAACTAGCAGCATTTGGCTGGTTAAGCTTTTCAGTCTTTAAAGCAGCACACTTCAGCTGAGAGCCATTCGGATATGAGGACACAGAGGCTTCCAGTCTGAGGAAACAAAATCAGCTGAGAAGTTGGCCAGGTGAGGTTAGCTGTGGCTTGTTCTGTCTCTCTGATCTTCCAGTGTTTACCCCAATACCTGGCTTCAAGTTTGTTCTTTATTAATAAGAACTTTTAAGATTCATGCTACACCTACTGATTTTCTAACTTACAGTGATGGCCAAGAAAAATTGTCATTTTGAAAATGGGGAGAAAAGTCATCGCTTTGCATTTCTTCTTTCCCCTTTGAGCCACGCCTAAGGAACTTCCAGGACACTCCTGACTAGGCTGTGAGCATGTTCCCACTACAACTTGAGTTCTAAATATGATGAGATGAGTCCTGTGTAATTTTGTTTGTGCAGCTTCTAAATGACTGAGAGGACATCAGAATATGGCTTTTTTGTAGTTGTTATTGTTTTTCTGTTTGGTTTTTTGAGACAGGGTTTCTCTGTGTAGCTTGTGCCTTTCCTGGAACCCACGCTGTAGACCAGGCTGGCCTCAAACTCACAGAGATCTGCCTACCTCTGCCTCCCGAGTGCTGAGATTTAAAGGTGTGCGCCACCACCAATTCTGGCATTTTTATCCAAGCTGGCTGTCATCACCCTACAGCAGTAATTCCACTGGACAGGGATTTTCCTCAGAGATCGGGAACAGTCGTTTTTAAACTATCTCTTAAAGCTCCAGTGTAGGGTTCTGACAGTTTGCTGCTTTCATGGCCCTCCTTTTTTACAGTCCCTTACTGCGAAACTGGTGAGGTGCTGGTAAAGTGTTTAAAAGCAGGTCCTTTTGAAGTAGGGAGAGAAGAAGCTCCTAGCTGGAACATTTACTATTTCATGGCACAAATACTCCCCCAGCTGCAGATGGATGGCAGCCACCAGGTACTCCTGGAGGGTGTGGCTTGGAAGGGACATGTGTAACAGACTGTCACTGGTTGAACTGAGCTGGCTGCTGCATATAACCCAACAAGACCAGCGCTCCTCTTGTCCCTTTTCCAGATTCTAAAGATCTGAATTGAGATATGTTACAGCTAATATCTACATTCACCATGGTAGTGTTCCTTTCCTGACTCCTCCCTGGAACCAATGTTAAAATTGGTGACATATTTTATGAAAACAAAAATATGCCATTTACATCAATCTGGAATACACCTAAAGGATTTAGGCTGTTAAGTAGATGGGATAATACTACATTGTAAAGTCATGCTAAGGACATGATGGGACTTAGGTGATCTGTACATTTACTATCTAAAGAGAAAGGAAGGATCTGTGCGTTCTTAGTTACCAAAATTAATACAGACATATAATGAAGACAGATTTAAAGCAGCTGGATATTAACTCTATCATACAATGAGCTATGTCTGAATAAGAGCCGAGTACCTGGAAGACTACATCTGGAATCTCTTTGTCATAGAGCGGCATCTGCTGCAGAAGGAAGAAATCCAGCTGGCCCGCGTTTCTCAGCTGCAACAGCTGGAAGCGTTTGCTCCTTTTTATTTCTTCCTCAGACACAAAGTTAAATTCATCTTGCAACTGCTCTAGACGGAAATATTTTGGGATTTCCTGCCCTTTGTGTCTCAAATACTGTAAAACACCAACATGCAAAGTCTTTACTTAGGAGATTATTTTTAATTCACAAATTATTTCAGAACACTATTTTTGCTCCATCAACAGTGAGGTCTATTGCAGTCTGAGTAGGATGGAGCAATTGGACCTGGAGAGGCATGCAACCTGTGGACATACAGACTCCAGCTGACGTGCTTTCTAACCTGTCTGCTCAGTACTTACACAGAACGAGAAAATGTCAATGTTGTATATGAACAACAGGCGGGAATGGGCATACGGATGGACTGTGGACACCAGACCCGGAGGGGGGGTATGACAGCCACTGTCAGCTGACAAAGGGAGGTCAAAATAAAGCCTGCTGGGAACACAGAGCAGTTCAGTTGGCTGCAGGGACGAGTACGAGTGACCACATAATGGTGTTGAGTGCAAGAGTGCATTTTAAGTCCTCTTGATACATCACCTTCAGTACCTAATAATATGGTTGGCGTGTAACGGATGTTAGCCTAAAGGTCAGCCTGCCAACCATCAGGTAAGGTCTAAAGTAGTCATTTCAGCAGATGCATTGCTAATGCCTTTCCAATGCTCTAAACTGACTGAAAATCATACGTGCCCTCAATTCCACTTTTACATGCACCCTAAGTGTCTAGAAAAATACACAGCAAATAATGGAGGAGTATATGAGATACATGAGTAAATAAAATACATTTGATGGCTTCTAAAACTTACCATAATAAGTTCTGTTATATCAGAATACTCTGGATTGTTTGGATCAATCCTGATGTCATCTGCCCAGTCACAAAGCTTTTGTGAGTTCACAGGCCACGGGAGTCCAGGAACACCTCTGGCGTCAACATTTCTTAGCACACTAATGTGGAGAAAACATTTTGTGACTCTACATACAATATGCAGGTTACACATTACACAGGCTAAAGCCCACCCATGGTAGGAACCCAGTATTTAAGGATGAAACAGAACTTTTCTTTATGATCCCCTGGTGCTCCTCACGGTCTAGTTTCACTCTAGCTTTCTGATAAGTGTCTACTTAAAAGACAATAAGCCTGCTAAGGATAAAACTCTATAGATACTCATATGTGCTGTCTCCATTTGCAGAGGAGCTGGATGCTTAAGTGAATAGTACTCTTTGGTTGTAGTCCAAACATAATGTTGAGTTAAATATTTTATGTGATGCACAATACTAAAATTTAATCCAAATATTTGTTTGTAAAAAACCAAGAAAGCATACAATGTAAAAAGTGAGCCTAAGGGGCTGGCAGGTGGCTCAGTGGGTCAAGGTGCCTGCTACCAAGCCTGGTAACCTGAGTTCTATTCCTGGAATCCACATAGCGGAATGAGAAAACTGTTCTAAGTTGTCCTCTGACCTCCACGGGCACTGCAGCATGTATATGTAAAAAATGTGAAAATAAAATACATACACAAAACAAATAAGTGTGAAAAATGTTTTCAAAACATTTTAGGTTGTATTATAGTCATTGAAATCTAACAAAAAGCAATGTGATTTAGTAGACAGTATAGGCCAGGAGAGTGTCTTTAGTTATGAACAACCATCTTCAAACACTGGGGCTATAAAAATAAGCTAGATTCACAATATACCCTTAGTGTCTCAGCAATAGACTAAGAGCAGAAAGAAGGCAACCCTAGAGTATGTGCCTGGAGTTGTCAAGTAACTTGGTGTCTTCATAGACAAGTTAATTAGAAGAATCTGGATAGGTTTCTAAGATCTTTTTGTTGGGTCTCAAACCTGGGACAGATGGCTGAGGTACCTATTTAACATATCAAAGCAGACTTGGCCACCAGGTTCTCCCAGAATCCCTCAGTCCACCATCCGTCCGTCCGTCCGTCCGTCCCTATCTGTTACAGGGTATGGTTGGCAGATGCTGTCCCCCGACAGCTCTCCATCCCAGGACCTGGGCTGCCCTTCTCTATATAATCCAGCCATTTTGGTTACCTGGCCCTTTGTCTACCCTTTATCTTCCTGGTCTCTTGGTCTCCTACCGGTCCCCTTTCCTCTCCCTGTATCGCCTCACATGGCTCAGGGGCATGCCCACTCCGGACTCTCCCAGATGTCTCTGCCTCTGGCTATGCTCTCCCTCACATCTACAATAAACCGTCTCCTCCACCATACCTAAGAGCAGTCATGGCTTCCTTTTTTATTTTTCTCTTTCCTTTTCATCCACTTTTCTTGTAGGCACCTAAGAACAGATCCCGCCTGTCAACTGAGGTCCCAGAATTGCAGTTTGGACACAGCTTCTGTAATGTTTGAGCCCCAGAGTGATGTCCACTTGGTATAGTCTCCTTTTACCTGTGTCTCCTCTCACGTCTCTGACAGCTGTTAGCAAGCTGTGGTTGACCCACCCCAGGACATGGTGCCTGCGAACGAAGTCACAGACGTGCCAGGCGGAGTCCGGGCCAGTCTTCCTTTTATTTCCTATTTCTGAACTCGAAGTTGAACTATTTTTCTATCTTTGTTATGAAAGATCTCTAAGAGCTGACACCCTTGACATCTTGCAACGAATTTTCCTTCCTCTTGGGACAGTGTTAGCCCACATGCCCCAGAACACAAAGCTTGAGACGAAACTTGAATGTTCACAAGTAGACTGGAGAGAAAAATTTACACAAGTTACCTTCTTAGGAAGGAAGCTGTCACTGGATTCCAGAGTCCCATGACATCTGCCTCATCAAATATCACAAACCTCAGAACCACGTTGCAGTGACTTCCCTAGATACTCTGCTGGCATTCAACTGAGGCCAAGTCCCCACCAGCCGCGAACCATTTCCACCAACAAACACCATGTCAGCCGCACTGTCTCTTGGCTCAAGGCTAGCTGGAGAGCTGAAGTTCGCACTGTGCAGATGGAGCACTGGAAGGACATTCTAGAATTCTAGGACTTTCCTTCCACCAAGCCATCTGGAATGACTGGGAAAATTTAAGTCCTCAGAAACGAACTCTTTGGGAGTCTGGGCCTTTGTAAGTTAAGGAAATGCCTCTCCAGTTGTCCACGTGACTGGAAACCTAAGCAGTGAAGAAACACATCACCCTGCACAGAAAACCCTGCCACAGTGTGAAGAGTCAAAAGGAAAGTCGGCAGCCGACCGCTGTCTGCACCCCCTTTACACGCACATCTTATGGGGTGTCTTGTGAGATGCAGAACTGTTTCAAACAGGAAACGTTTATTACCTGCAGTATGCCGATCGCAAGGACTGCGACACAGGCGTTAGAGGGATTCCGTTCTCATCCAAAGCCCACGAGAGGGAATAGCTAAGTTTCCCTGAGGTTAAAAGACAAAGCTCTTCATTCTCACTCCCCTCGAGATTAAAAGGCACATCTGTTTACAAAAGACATTTAAAACACATCACTACTTTAGAAACTCACAAGGTGAGGGGCCGGGAAGATGACTGGTGTGTAAAATGCCTCTTATGAGCCGGGCGGGCACTTGGGAGGCAGAAGCAGGCAGATCTCCGTGAGTTTGAAGCCATCCTGGGCTACAGAGTGAGTTCCACAAACAAACAAACAAACAAACAAACAAACAAACAAACAGAAATGCCTCTTGTGCAAGCATGGAGATGAGTTTGGATCCCCAGAACCCATAGGAAAGCTATCTGTAATCCCAGAGCTGGGGAGGCAGAGCCAGGTGGATCCTGGAGCTCAACTATCCAGCCAGGCTTGCCAACCTGATGGTCATCAGGTTCAGGGAGAGACTCAGTTTCAAAAACAACAGGGTGGATGGAGCACAATGGTAGAAGTTACTCAATGGCAGCCTCTGGCCTCCATCTTGGTACTCTTCACCTCCCCTCTAAGATACCACAGGAGGACTGCCTCAGATTCAAATGAGTGGAAAACATTGAGCCAAACAGAGATGAGCATCTCTCCATTTCTTATGCCTGGGATTTTGTAACCATTCTTCCCAGGGCTTCTTCTAGTAAGAAAGGATCATTGGCAGAAAAAAAAGTAGAGGCAGATGGGGTGGTTCAGTGGTTAAGAGCACTTGCCACTCAATCATGAGGACCAGAGTTAGAATCCCGGAACTCACACTGGGCCTCTCACAAATGCCTGTAACTCTAGCTCCAAAGGATACACCACCTCTTTCTAGCTTCCATGAGTGATCATGAGGGAACATGCCCTCCCCCCACCTTACACACACTAACTCTTTTTAAAAAGGAACCAGACTCTCTCTCTTTACATTCCTGCATCTTCTCTCCCCCACCTCAGCATTTACCACCACTACGTGAAACTACTGTGATGCTCCCATATGTTTTGGGTCCTTATTCGTAGCTCCAAGGTTTCTGTAGAAGAAAAGAATTTTCTGGTCTCTATGGACCCAAGAAGACTGCTCTTCAGCTTGTCCTTCCGAGTTATTTGCTTTGTTTTTGACTCACATTTTCTTGGCTTTCTCCTGGTTCATTTGTTCATACCTCCTTCCTTTACATCTGATAGGCTCAAATAGAGGCAAAGCCCCTGAGAAGATGAAAGACAGGAATCTGGGGGGCGGGGCTTGTTCTGGGTTCTCAGAGACGTGATAACTAGTCTACTTGCACAAGAAGAGTGAAGTAATCGAATAACAAAGGGATAGAAAATGCCCTTCTTTCCTTCATCCCTTTTCTGAGTCCCTTTTTTTTTCCTTTTCTCTTTACTTTTTATACTGATTCAAGAATAGCAGGCACGTCCTGTAGCATCCCTACAGTCATTAAAAGTGAGGAAGTCAGAAGCAAAGACCTGGACTGGGAGATAGCTCAGAACAGGACCTGAGTTCAGTTCTCCAGCACCCAAGTAAAAAGCTGGGCAGGTGGCACACCTCTGCAATCCCAGACTAGGAGGCATGTGACATACACCTCTGCAATCCCAGACTGGGGAGTCAGGGGCATACCTCTCCAATCCTAGACTGGGAGGCATGTGACACATACCTCTGCAATCCCAGACTGGAAGGCAGGGACACACCTCTCCAATTCCAGACTGGGAGTTAGGGGCACACCTCTGCAATCCCAGACTGGAAGGCTGGGGAACACCTCTCCAGTCCCAGACTGGGGAGTCAGGGGCACACCTCTCCAATCCCAGATTGGGAGTTAGGGGCACACCTCTCCAATCCCAGACTGGGGAGTCAGGGACACACCTTTCCAATCCCAGACTGGGGAGTCAGGGGCACACCTCTCCAATCCCAGACTGGGGAGTAAGGGGCACACCTCTCCAATCCTAGACTGAGAGTTAGGGGCAAGCAGATCCTTGTTGGCCAGCCTGCCTAGGTTTAGTAAAAGACTCTGTCTCAAAATAAGGTAAAGAATGACTGATGAAAGATAACCAGCATCTACCTCTGGCCTGTGCACACAAGGACATATCACATGAATACACAACACACATACATACATAGACACACTTCACACAAATAAATACACCCCACACAATTACACACACACACACACACACACACACTTACACCCCCTACATACCACACAAATACACATACCCCACACAAACTTACACCCACACAGACACCCCCCCCACACACAAATACATGCCCCCAGAGCCCAGAGCTCACATTCCAGAACCCACAATGCTCCTTAGGACTAGGAGAAGCACAGACAGGTGTTCAGGGCAATATTTAAATTTCCCAAAGACCTAATTCAAGACAAAGTTTTAAACAATCTAGCTTTTGACACCTGGAGTAATTTTTTTTTGTAACCAAATACTATAAATGGGATTTGTTTGTTTGTTTGTTTGTTTGTTTGTTTGTTTTGAGACTTGCTATGGAGTCCAGGCTGGTCTAGAACTCTTCATCCTTCAGGGCCTTCGGAGAGCTGGGATTACAGGCAGGTGCTATCATAGCCAGGGTCGTGTAAATTACCTCCAGAGTGAAACATTCTACCCTGCAGGGAAACAACTCACACAGCTTCAGGAAGTCCCTCAAACCGACCAGATTCACTAGACCCCTTCCTTGCCAGAATGAGCAATAAAAGTTGGGAATCCCTCTGAGAGGAAAGGAAGCTGGGCTTCACAGAAGACTCTGAGACCGGACCAGCTGCCTGGGAGAGGCAGAGACCAGCCAGGCTGCCTGGGAGAGGCAGAGACCAGCCAGGCCGCCTGGAAATGGTTTAGACCAACTGAGGCACCTGGAAAGGATGCCTTCCAACCTGCTGAGCTGAGTGCAGGCTGTTCAGGTGTGCTCCAAGTTCCCAGCTTTGTGAGCTGTCACTCATGCTAGGGTGGGCTTTGGGGATGCAGCTGTCTTCTCTGCCCCTGTAAGTAACTACAATAAAACTCATTGTTTCACAAAGTTGGACTTTGGTGGTCTCCATTCTTTGCTCTGTTGTGGGATCCCTATTTGGGGTGAGTAGACATGTGTGTTGTGTCTTTCCAGGAAGGGTTTTGTCACAGAAGACGCAGCTAAGATTCTTTACTCAGGAATACGACCCAGGTTCATTTAGGATTTGGTACACATGAAGAAAGTGAGGGGAGAGATTGGAATCACTCACTGCTTCCTACGCCTCCATCCACAGGTATGACCAGTTTATCAGAACTAAATTCTGTATATTCCAGGACAGTCTTGTCTTTCAGCTCTGTCTTGTTGGGTAAAGGCAGATAGAGTTTAACCAGTAAACTTGTCCTTTTACTTATTTCATAGACCTAAATATAAAATAAATGGTTGAGAACTCACCAAAATGCAAAACAGGAACCACAGAAAAACAGAAGAACAATCAATAACACATTTGTATCATTTTCGAAAACTGCTATATGAAAATGGCATTGTTCTGTTACGTCTTATTCAGAGTTAAGGTGGGAACAGGAAGCTGGCAGGTCACACTGCGACCTCCCTCGCCAAGCAGCAAGAACGGGAAGTGGGGACCAGCTAGAACACCTCAGTTCTGTTTTTTGCGGTGACCCACTTCCTTCAGCAGGGCTCCACCCCCTGCAGGTTCCACAGCCTTCCCAGATAGTGCCACCAACTGAGGATTATGTATTTAAACAGGTGAGCCTCGGAGATCAGGGGTTCGTACTTAAGACATGAAAGACCATAGCAGAGGTAGATTATGCATTTACTAATTGTAAATCCATGGGTAGGTGTAGAAATAAGGCATTCCTTCATATAAAGAAATAAACTACCGTATATAACAGGCATTAACAAGAAAAATGACACATTGGGCATAAAATAAGACAGAAACATAAATGAAAACAGCATACCTCCAAGCAGATTGTTTCAGGCCAATATAAGAGTTGAATGTTAAAAATCTGTTGAAACATGACTTTAAAATCAAACTGTAGGGGAGATATGGAAGTGCAGGAAACCTGTTTATCATTATAAAATATTTTGATAAAATATTTAAGCTTCTGAATTTTGGCTCTCCTCTTTTGCTCATATCTAAAAAAAAAGTCAAACAAACCATTAGATGACCCACAAAAATCAGAGACAATGTAAAATGTTATTTTTCCCCCAAAATTACCTTACGATGTTAAAAAAAAATGATTATTTCAGAAGATAAATTCTGTCTTTAAGTCAAATAGCACCTGCCTGTGTGTGGTAAAAATATCCTTTTTACAGTCAATCATTTTTGAAGAAATATGCACATTCAAAAATAGAAAAAAAACTAAAATCAAGGTTTGGCTGTTAATTCTGCCAAGTCCTATCTTAAAGAGACTATAACACCCACCCGATGTCTTATAAGAGAGGGAAGGGGGAGACTTTGGCATGGGAGTGGAGGGTTTACATAAACGACAACAAAACTGCGCGTGCACATGCACGCGCACGTGCGCACACACACATCACTGTTCTTTTCTGTTAAAAGAACTGTAAATCCCTTAGGCTTCAGGCTGTGTTTGCCCCTAGGTGAGACAATATGCTACTTTCCTGGGGTCTCTATAGAAACATTTGCTGGCCATAAAATCACTTGGTTAGTGACAGGAAATCCCCAGTCTTCCCTGTGTCTGTTCACTCACCTAGCCAGTTTCTGTCTTCTCAGCCACAGAACAACTGGCCCAGTGAGGATTAAGGCTTGATCTTAGAACTGTTCTTAGGAGGTAAGCCCTAGGCACAGGCCTGAACCCCACTTCTGCCCTCTGCCACAATCAATTTATGGGCCTGAGTCCCTTCCCATTCTTTATCTACGCCTCTTGTAACACTCACAGAAGGTCAGGGGACAGACAATGCTTATTCTACCTCCCCTTTGTCTCCTTCACCTTCCCAATTACCCCAGAGAAAGCTGCCCTGTGGGTTATCCTCTGAAAGTAGTTATAACAACCTACTCCCAAATAGATTATGTGTTAGGAACGTAAGTATAAAACCAAGTCACGTTTTATGTGACTTGAAATACGATGCAAAGATTGCCACCAGAAATGTAGGCCTCATAAGCAAGCCCCTGGGAGGCCACCCCACAGCTCAGATATAGCCTACCCCAGGACAACCCTTGATATGCTAATGAACTGACCCCAAGGTGGCGTTCAGTGTGCTGGGGAACCAGCCCCCAGAGGAGAGCCCTGATAACCGCACAATGGCATGATACAATTGGAACTTGGGGAATGGTCTCTAGGATCACACTGCCGTGCTCCCAAGACAGGGCTTTTCCAGCCTCTGTGTTGATAGCCATCAGTGAGAAGTCTTTGAGACTCTTTGTGGCTCTGGCCTCAGTAGCTGCTGGACTTCTGGCACTGTCACTCGGCTTGCACAGGCTGCTGGCCAGCATTCTTGAGTACTTCCTGGACCTCCTTCAATGCCATCCTTCCACTTGCCACAGCTGAAGGACTTCAGGGCAGATGTGGGTAAAGCCTACAAGGCTCAGAAGTATTCTCACCAGATTTCCCCAGGGAAAGCCTGCAGCAGCATTCCTGCTTGGTGAGATATCTGTTTCAACTTTTTATATTATCATGACATTATAAGGAATTTTGTTTGAATAAACTGAGCATATTTGAAAGTCAAATCTTGTGTGGACATCCTAATTGCTGAGGACCTTATAGACCATAGACCGTGTTCTCTATGTTATGAAAATTTATCAATTCAAAATTATATTATTATCTTCAGGAAACAGCACCCCCTTTCTTCCACCGTAAACCATCTTTAACCCTCCCCTTGTTTCTGTATTCTTTTCATTTCTGGCCTTAGTATATTTTACTCCTTTCTAAAGAATCGATTTTGTTCATCTGTAAATTGGCAGCCAGCCACACTATCTGACAGTCATGGCTTTGGAAACTGTATTTCCTTTTGCCTTAACCACACTAAGCCTTTTCTAGGTTTTCTGACATGGAGGATCCTCTTTCCTCTCTCCTCTTTCCTTCTCTGGGGTCTCAGGCTCTCCATATGTCTAGAAATGAGCCCAAGCTGGACTACAGAAGGATGTCTGGCCATTAGACAGAAGCCAGCATTCCTCAGGAACTTGGGGTTTTCCATCGCCCAAAGGAGTCCTTCCTCCCAGCTAGCCTCCTTATACTCTAATCTAATCCTCCTCCCTATAATCCGCACCAGTTGTCCCCCCCTGCTCTCTTGTGTATCTCACTGCTCTATCTGCTGCTCTCTGATGCTCTTTCCCCTCTCATAGACAGCCCTGGCCATGCCCAGTCTATTCCTCCTTCTCTCTGCTATGGACTCTTCCAGATGCCTTTGGATATTTTCTCTCTCTTTTTCACGATAAAGACCTTCCCCCAAATGGATCGGTCATGCTGGCCATTTCTTCACTGCGGCCCAGATGCCCTCCAATTTCTTTTCTTGGTTCATTTCCCTTCCTTCTTTTTGATGGGTATTTTGTACACGTTTTACCTAATAAATTATCTTAGGCCCCCCATTAAAGGACAAATAAAAGGCTGCTTTTCTGCTGCACCTTTGCTCAGAAAGAGGGTGGTGCTAATTGTGCCCTTCTGTTTGCTATTCTTTGTGGGTTTTTTTTTTTTTTAATATAACGATCTATCCATTTGCTTGTAAGTATTTACTGGGGTATCGTCCACATCCCAACTCGGTGCTAAATGATGCATTCACAATACTCAACGTGAATTTGTTCTGCCTCCTCTGGGATTACGAAGTAGAAAACCAGATGCAGTTCAGTGCCCTAAGCTGCAATGTCCTGTTTATGGGAGATGGGATCTGTAAGCCTAGTGGATGAGAGAAATGGGTATATTTGTGTGTGCATAATGTCATAGGCAAGGACAAGGAAGAAATCTGGGAAGGAATGAAATTTGTACTGTCAAAAAAAGGAACTGTCCAAGGGGCCCTCTTGATATGAACAGTTTTCATAAACACTAGTGTTCCATCATGAGCATGGTGACAATATAATAACAATGGCTTTACATCCACCATCTCTACCTGAATAAAAATTTCTACCATGACAAAGTGTAAAGCTCACTAATATATCGGGCTTGCTGGTAAAGACAGTATAGGTTATACTCAAGTTCAAATGGTTTGTGTCCTTCCTCAGGAATGTACTTGATTTGTGGCCTAGAGCAACTTTACCTTCCATTAGAATAAACTCCCCCACTTCCAAGATGAGGACAGCATCCCACTCCATAGAGCAGGGGGGACAATGGAATGTGCAAACGAATATATACAAATGCAACAGTGTCCAGTGCCCAGGACTCAGGACATCTGACACTGTTATTAGAACAGTCCAGCAGGTGACTGGTGAGGAAGAAACAGCTCTCTGAGGTGCTTACAGTGAACACTTGGAAAGGTTTGTTAATTCTGCTGTGAAAGAAAGCTGTGGCACCAGCGTGATTGGCTTTATCTTTTCCACTTCCGTTCCTTCCGGGTCTGGAGCTGGATAGGGGAGTCTCTGGAAACCAAAAACAGAAGGGCGTATAATTTAGCATGTAAACTGTTGACGCTTGCATTTGTCTGGTATCTGTTGCATGTACCAAGAAGCACATACCAAGCAATGAAAGCCTCCAACGAGTTAAGACAGCCGGGGGTCATGGCGCACACTACATACCTCCTGTGTGTCTCCATTCTGAAATGGCTTTTCTTTGCTTTCTTTCCCAGATACTCCTGATGTTTCCGCTTGGTTCTGCTCATCCCATGTGTTCATTTTTATCCTAATTAACAATAAATAAAATTGTTTAGAGCAGAAGTAATGTAGGTATTTGGGAGTTGTCAGAGATAAATTAAACAAAAACAAAAACAAAAAAGCCAAAAAACCAATTTGCTAAGCTTTTCTGCCATCTCACCGGTTTCTTCCTCATGGGTAAATCTGCCACCAGCATTTGCAGCCTTTTTGGAGGCCATCTCTCTCTCCTCAGGTGAGCAAAGCAGCCAGGAGAATGGGGATAATGTAAACTGAAGGCCATGCATCTGGAATCTCGTTTTTGTCTCTCGTGGTTTAAGCTATGCAAACAAGAACTGGTGTAGAGGTCGGGGACCGGAGGGACAGCGGGTACACACTCCAGCTAGTCTCTGGGGCTGATGTGCTAACAGCCAGGAGCTCACAGTGCCACGACCGTTTCTGTTACTGTTGGCATTGGTTAACTCCCAGTACTTACTGAGCATGTGTGCCCTAAGTACTTGATACACATTGACTCAGTCCTCACAGACTTGTGCAGCGGGCACTACTACAATTCAATAAAGTTCCACTTATCTGGAACATTTTTAGAAAGTAACTGTCCTGGGAGCTGAATTTTCTTAACTGGGGGATTTGTGCTTTTCAGTTCAAAGTTTCAGTTTTTATTTTTAAGCTTTAGGGAGGGAGTTGTATGTATGCTCTGTTCAGAGTGTAAAAGGGTACAGCTACTCTGGAAAGCAGTCTGGAGGTTCCTCAGAATGCTAACCAGGTTATTACCATGTGACCCAGCAATTCCTCAGTAAGATGCAGTCACAGGAGAAGTGAAACCTATCCACACATGTGAGGAATGATCACAAACAGGACGGTGGCTTCTTTTTGGGTGATGTAAGTGCTCTAAGACTCTGGAAGAGATTTAAAAATTGACAAACTGTGAAGTATATCCTAGTAGAGCTGTTTAAAATATTATATGCTTTGTCCGTCTGAAACAGAACACAGGGATGCCACTGCGTATAATACCAGTCCAGGCTTGAGACCAGGGTACATGTATTGAAAACCCAGCCTCATTAGTGGCACTACAAAATTCAGACAAACGACTGGAGTGCTCTAGGCCTGCTCTCATCTGAGAGTCAGGTGGATGTGAAGGCCGAATGCAGGTGGCATTTTACGTAAAGTGCACGGCCAAACATTCACAGTAAGACAAAGGATAGCCATTATTACTTTTCTCTGACCTACAGCCATCAGTATGGAATCAACTGACTTATTTACTGTAATGCAATGGCTCAAACTTTATAACATATTAAATTACTCAGGGAAATTCAATTTTAAGACTCCTGGGCTCAGACCATGCACCATACCAATTAAATAGGAACAGTGGTTTCTTACAAGTCCCGGGTGATTCTAATAGACAGTAATTTGGAGAACCAGTGTTATTAGTAAGTTAGAGACTGGGTGTCATTAGTCATGTGTCCTTAGGCCATTCAATCTAGAATCCCATTGGGACAGTTATTGAGGTAGAGTGATCTTGGGTTTGTGGACTCCTTTTTATTCTGTACTGTTTGGAAAATGACAAGATTCTGGTTGGTCTATGAGTGTAGGGTCTCCCCTGTGTGGCTTGCATTCACCTTCTCACATCTTCTGATCTTAGACATTTCTTAGTGATTTGAATTGCTCCAGGTAGTAGTAACCAACATAGAACATAAGTGAAGACATACCTACATGAACTTGAGTTCCCTGTATTTACCAGTGTTGTGGTTTGGATACAGTAGCTGGTAGCAAGCAGCTCAGACAGTTTCTCTCTGCCTTTTAAAAAGTGTGTGTGTGTGTGTGTGTGTGTGTGTGTGTGTGTGTATGAAATATATATATATATATTTTTTTTTCATGTATTTATTAATTTAGGTAGGGGTGAGTGGCTCATACACATTGAGGAACCAAGGCCCTTGCCCAGACCCCTGCCTTGGCCATTCTGCAGCCATGACAGGCTACAGAAAAGACCCAATAGGATGTAGGCCCCTGGCACAGCACAATGTGCCCTTGAGCCCCTGACCTTGGGCCTAGAACTAGTTACAAAAAAACTCTACCAGATGTCCCTGTAGTTGGAAGTTTTCTTGTGTCCCGCCTGGTCCACAGCCACTCAGACCCAAATAAATACAGAGAGGCTTATATTAATTACGAACTGTATGGCTATTAGCTCAGGCTTATTACTGACTAGCTCTTACACTTAAATTAACCCATAATTCTTAGCTATGTTTAGCCACATGGCTTGGTACCTTTTCTCAGTTCTACTCAGACATCTTGCTTCCTCTGTGTCTGGCTGGTGACTCCTGACTTAGCCCTTCTCTTCCCAGAGTTCTCCTCATCTGCTTGCCCCTCCTACACTTCCTGTCTGGCTACTGGCCAATCAGCATTTTATTATTTATCAACCAATCAGAGCAACACATATTCACAGCATACAGAACATCCCACAGCATGTCCCCATATGGTAAAAATTAAAAATTAAAAGTTACAACTAACCAGTTCATAATAAAGAAAAAATGTAGTGACCACAGCAACCGCTGTAAGAGATAAGAGTTTTCCTGCAGCTGCAAGCTGACTAATTAAGCCAAGGACAGCACCTCTGAATGGGAGGTACACCAATCCCGAGTCTGTTACTATGCAGTCTGTAGACCCTAAAATCTCCCTTGCTTAACACCCTATAAAAACCCTGCCCCATTGCTACCCTGGGTCTCTCCTGCTCTGCTGCTGTGTCAGAAAGATGAAGAGGCCTGAGTTAACTCACATTAAAAAGACTCTTTGTTTTTGCATGGATTTGATCTCTTGGTGGTCTTTGGGGACTCTGGATACAACACGCAGGAACACCATGGCCCAGGAGTCAGTTCTCCTTTTACCATGTGGGTCCTGGGGACTGAACTCAGGTTGTCACACTTGGCAGCACCTGCTGTCACCCATTGAGCCATCTCACCAGCCCAGGTCTCTCTAAGTTGAATGAAGTGATGCTCACACTTGACAAGGTGAGTTTCTAGCCTGAATAAGATGATCAGCTTTCTCTTCAACTTCCTGCTAGTTCCTGTCAGCCACTGCTACTTTATAAAACATGCTTTAGCTGAGACTGTCATCTCCTCCATGTCAGAAAGCCAATCAGTATCTCAGAAGCATTCATCATGGCCAGATGTTCTTTCCTACTGTACATACATAAAGTGCTCACTGATGTTCCTCTGCCTTGTGTTTGGTCTCTCCTCCTCTAAGCCACTTAAAGCTGTTTCTCAAGTATCTGTTCTTGAGCCTCTCCTAATCTCACTGTCTCCCCTTTCCTTAAGGAGTATCATGGACACTGGTGGCATTAGTAGTGAAAACTAAGCTACCGGCTTCCACATTTTTATTTCTAACATACATCCAGCTGTTCACTCAACTACCTCACTTAGGAATATTATTAGGGAACATCAGATTCTGTGCCCCAACCAAAACGCAAGAAGGAGACAGCATATCGGTGCCAAGCTTCCTTGTTACAAGTTGTCTTTTCTGGAAAAGTGGCTACTGTAGATGTAACCAACCGTCTTATTAAATAAGAAACACAGAACAAATACAAAGAAGAAAGCCAAGAGATCAGAGCTAAGAGCCTTACCGTCTGCTGCAGCTAGCCTCTTCAGCCAAGAGACCTACTTCCTGTGTTTTTGTCTTTATATACACTTTCTGTTCTGCCTTCTCATTGGTTGTAAACC